AAAAAAAAAAAAAAAAAAAAAGAAAAAAAAAAGGTGTCTAAAGCGGGACAGAACACATGCAGTAAAACTTTGAAATAAAAACAATTTTGGTGCTGACAAAATTCAGCTTTTTAGCTATACCTGTATAAAGAGTTCCGCTCTACCGCTCTGAGCGCATGCTCAAGGTGTCAAAGAGTGGACCATGGGTTGTAAAAATTGCTATACTTTGGTATATATGATTTTGAAAGTAGGTTAACGCTACTCGCTCATGAATATTTGATGAAAATTTTGCTTGGAAGGAAAAACACAATTAAAGTATAGCAATTTTTACGTGATCCCACTTTTTGACCACTTGAGCATGCTTATAGTAGCAGTTGCGCGGAACTCTTAATTGCGCTAAAATATGTATCACTCAACCAGAACATTCATTGCACAAAGACACAAGATATTTTTTGTGTCTTTGTTTAATTACTGCGATTTTCGTAAACATGCGAGCTCTGTGTCTCCAAGTTGAACGCTGAAATTTGGTTTTTCGCTGCAGTCAATTAAACCTAATAAGTCGGTTCTTTCATATTTTTGACTTAGCGGCAGCGAAAAAACACTGAAATTTCAGCGTGCAACTCGCAGACACAGAGTGTGTATGTTTATGAAATTCGCAGTAATTTTCTGGTTGAGTGATAGCAACTATTAGCCATTAAATAGCTATTATTTGTCAGTATCAACTTTGTTTTTATTTCTTGTTTTTAGGGCACGTTCTCCAAATGTTTTCGGTTGCTACACATTGTCTAGTTTATTTTATTAAATCTAAAGGACGACTATAACTACGAAAATCAACCGAATTCTAATTCAATAATAATCACAGGCTATTTTATGTAAATAACTCCTTGACTTACTGTAAGTTTCATAAACATGCGAACTCTGTGTCTGCGGGCTGTAAGCTAAGAATTTGGTTTTTCGCTGCCTCTAGTCAAAAATATAAAAGGTACCGACTGATTAGGTTTGATTGACGGCAGCGAAAAACCAAACTCCAGCGTGCGGCTGCAGACACAGAGCTCGTATGTTAGACCAAAGGTTGTTTGAGGGACTTTCATTACTTGTGATTAGAATCCGCAATTGTTCCATCCATTTTCTTCAATACTGAATATGAAACTAGCGGACAATTTGATTACATAATACAAAGAAACCGAAGTTAAGTGTTTAAGTAAGTGACGCGATTGATTTCTTTGAAAAATTCGTAAAAATATAATACTTCGAATCGGAATATCGAGAAAAAATTTCAACCAGGGATTATTAGTTATAAATAAAGCCATATATACGATTGAGGGGAGGGATTTTTAGAAGTCACCTTTTTAAAACATAAATCAGTGTCTTCAATTTAATCTAGTGTTTATGTAAATGACGTCACTGATTTCTAAAAATTCGTTTAAATATAATACGAATCGGAATATCAAGAAACATTTTTAACCAGGGATTATTAGAACGTACCCTAATGAATAATAATAGAAAGTTTCAGTCGAATTAAGATTAAAATCAAAAAGCTCTCACCTAGTTTAATGATGCTTACAGAAAGTTCATGATGAATGACGATGCTTGTAATTAGAAGTTTGTAAATAATATTTTTTTCTAATATAGAATTTTTTTTTAGATATCTCTAGTAGAATATCTAAATCGGAATATACGTCTTTGATTTCTGTATATTTTTTAGAGAAGTAACTAACCTTTTGCTGTTAATCGTTGTCTCTTCGCTCGAGGACTTCCTCGGCTTCCTTCTCACATACAAGTTTCAAGTGAACCGATCGAGCTATGTTTAAACTTGCTGTCAGCAGAGTCGCTTTTCAGAATATTTTACCTGCAATCGAAATATTTTTTTAAAATTATTAGTTTAAATAAAATCTTTACGAGAAGAAATATTTAGAGTTAACCTTTTATGAAATCGATGGTAAATTTATTTCGCCCATAGCATTCGCCATTTTGAAAAATAAAAATCTAAAAATATATAGCCAGTTGATGACATCACGACACTTAACCAACTGCATACGTACAGTCGTTGGAAGAAAATTTTACTTTAGGGGTTACAAAAAAGTATTCCATTGGACAAAAAGAAAAAAAAAATCATATTAAGACTATCTTTTAAACCATGGCAAAGGAAACAACGGATTCAATGATAGACTTAGCAAAAAGGCTTTTCTATGTTGACTGGAAAAATAATCTTATAATCCCTTCATGATAAAATCCTTGTCAATTGATATTCATTCGTTTGAGGTTTTGCCTCAAGGCTGCTGCTGCACAATAGGACACACTTGAACTGCAGGGTCACCGTAGAGGTATATTGCACATACAATACGATGTCATAATCCTATTCAATTAATGTCGTTAAGTGTCTGTCTTTGGCTTGAAGGGCCACTTATTAGAGCTGCACCAGTCTTTTTTGCAATATTACACAGTCAGTCAGCCGGTCGGTCGGTCGTTCGGTCGGTCGGTCGTCGGTCGGTCGGTCAGTTACTTTCATTAATGAAAGCTTCAAAGCAAGATGGAGATCAAACTTCCAATATAATACAGTCAGTCAGTCAGTCAGTCGGTCGGTCGGTCGGTCGGTCGGTCGGTCGGTCGGTCGGTCAGTTACTTTCATTAATGAAAGCTTCAAAGCAAGATGGAGATCAAACTTCCAATATAATACAGTCAGTCAGTCAGTCGGTCGGTCGGTCGGTCGGTCGGTCGGTCGGTCGGTCGGTCAGTTACTTTCATTCATGAAAGCTTCAAAGCAAGATGGAGATCAAACTTCCAATATAATACAGTTAGTCAGTCGGTCGGTCGGTCGGTCGGTCGGTCGTTCGTTCGTTCGTTCGGTCGATCGTTCGGTCGGTCAGTTACTTTCATTCATGAAAGCTTCAAAGCAAGATGGAAATCAAACTTCCAATAAAATGAATCTTTGAACCCCTTGATAGGAACGCATGAGCTGGTTTGACTATAAAAATGCATTTTTTAAGATCTCCCTTGAAATCCAATTGCCCTATTTCATGATGACGTCACATCAAAACAAACTATTGTTTTAACGCTAGGGATCATAATAATCAATAATAATGATAAATAATAATAATAAAATAATAACTCTTTATTCAATTGATTAATTACAAATCAAAAATGCACAATAAAAATACATAAATGAATTCTAAAATTATAAAACTACTATAAAACTATCAAAACTCTTTTTAAATCTATTAGCATTAATTGCTGGCATTACGCAAACACTTTTCCTAAGATTATATGAACTATTTTTTTTTTTTTTGGAATAGGCACTAAGTTATTCAAAGGATTGTTTTCTTTTCTTGCTCTTTCAAAGTTTTTCTATCTGATTGTTCTAACATATATGGATACTAAGGCGTTGTGAGATATATCAAGTTTAATTGTAAAAAAAAAAAAAAAAMAAAAMAAAAAAMAAACTAATCCTAGATACAATTAATGCATTAAATAACGTACTTACCTCCTTTTGGGTGTAACCCTCCCTCCGTAATGATTTGATTACATAAAGGGCTTTGTTGGATTTACTTAATACCTCCTTAACATGATCCCCAAACCGACAGTTTCCCTGGAAAGTGACCCTTATTATTTCCAGACATTGTGGGCGCTGGAGGGGGATGTATTGACAACAACACATCTTAAATCCCAATGAAATTTGGTTTATGAGCTGATGAAGGCAAGAACAACTAGATATTATGCTAAAATCTCGAAAGAAGAGAATGAAGCTTAAATTTTGCCTAAATTTCTATCATTGTAACCGATGTAAACAAACTGTGACGCCATTGTGAATTGTCAGTTAAATCAAACACTTAGAAAAAAAACACCATTATAGACAAATTAAAAAGCCATAAGATTCAATAAAAATGAAAAATAGCTATCATGAAATAGCTATAAAAGCCATACGATTGCCGGCCGATGGATTTCTGAAGTCATCTTTTTAAAACATAAATCAGTGTCTTAAATTAAGATGAAAACTGGCGAATGAACGGTGAAACACAAAATCTAGAAAGTACGTCTAAAAATCATAATTTTTAATTGCGGGCCCTATATTATATTTTAATTGAAAAAAAAATCTCAAGCTAGACAAGAAAATTACCGCATAAGTGAGTAAAAAATTTTATTAGTTTGAACAGGGAATAAAGCTGTCTAAAGCCTCACCTTTCGACGTGAATTTTAACCATTCCTCCTCATGATGAAAGCGTGAAAAGCAAAATGCGTCGCTTTTCACTTCGAAAACACACAAAAAAAAAATCCCAATATAGGTTCGCAAACGATATTTCTACAAAAGCCAGTCGAACAATACCTTACTAAAAGCACTAGGAATAGAAAAAAAAAAAAAAAATTAAAAGCTTATTGAAGCTTAAGTTCCAATTTGTAACACACCCTGGGCACTGAACTTTTAACATTCTTTTTCGTTTGCAGCTATGCATCGTCTCATTTTACAGCTATTTTAGTCGTAGCCAACTGTATTTGTCATCGATATTCACGGCATACCTACGATCCGCAAGTATGAGCATTGGTGCATGGAAGTTATATAGTGCTAAATCATGTAAGAACGCGATTCGAACGCCGGAATAAAGTCGAACAAAGCTATAACAAACGAATAGAAATATGAAAAAGCAAAAAGAGAAAAGAAATTAGTTAAAAAACGGAAAGTTAACTGACCAACTAACCATGCTCTCTCAAGGACCATCTCGGTTTGTAGAACAACCTTCCGCCTTTCGCCGCACAATGAGAATTTGCGAAATCTTTCCGGTTTAAAATAGCCCCAATTTATTAATTCCTTTTCAACTTATACAGCTATTTGAAAAAAGGTTGAATACTGAATACTGCATACTAAATGGTGCATTACAAGACCGAAGTGCATTGTGGGTCATGGTGACATTGTCTAAAGTTGAATTAATAATAATTTTTAAATCTATTTTTAGTGTATTCCATCTGAAACAATATACTAACTACATGTAGAGAGTTAATTGCTGTATATTTACTTTTTATTTCAAATTAACGAGACCCACAATGCACTTCGGTCTTGGAATGCACTATTCAGTATGCAGTATTCAGTATTCAACCTTTTTCAAATAGCTGTAAGTCCGGGTCGTCCTTCACGAATTTGCAAGATGTGATCCTATTGGAGGGTACACATGTGTAGAACAATAGATAACAATGTCCTTTCCCCGGAAATTACGAGATCCTAAATTTCTTTTCAAAAAATTGATATCTCAAATTTTTAAAACAAAGTGTCTTCTAATTTTTCGTGGGTAAAAACGATACTCCAGTTCACAACTAAAATTCGGAAAATGAACGATTAATTCTCCTGTTTACTTTACGAAAGTCAATAGACAAAAAAAATAGAAGGAAATAAGGTCTTCTATAGGTGAAATTATCTACAGTGATTACAAAATAACTACTTCTTCAACCAATCGGATCAAAGAAAAATGAAAAATTAATGGGTAAGCAATCCTTTTTGTTTGCAAAATACTGGATATTATAAAGGAGCTCTCGTTTAAGTACGATACAAAACGCACAAATATCACACTAAAACAGTGGGATAGCGTTTGAGAAACTAAATAAAAATCGTAAATAAAAACGAATTTGCTTTCAAAGACTTTTTGATGCGAAAAAAAAAATAATAATAATGATAATAATAATAATAATAATAATAATAATAATAATAATCTGCCCTAACAAAATTCAGTCGATTTTCAAATTCTAACATAACTTGTTTTTCTTTTTATTTCATATTCTTTCTAATTAGCTTTCCCGTCTATATTTCTCCACCTTATTCTATTATTTTTCATTTTACTTAAATTAATTGTATTACGTACATTTTAACAGTTATTCGCCGAAGACGAAGAGATTATTGGTGAGACTATTCACCATAATCCCTTAGCCTGTGGGGAATAATTCTTCTATTTCTAGACTTGAATGTCAGAGAAATGTCGAAATTGAGGATTTAAAAATTAAAAAACCTTTATGATTATCGTCTCAGAATCACAGCTCGACCGACCAATCACAGCTCGACAAACTCTACTAATATTCAAGTCTACAATTCTATACTACTTTCTTTTAACTCATGTCATGTCATTTCAATTTTTTATTTCACTTCAGCCTTCCCTCTTCTCTTCTCTTCTCTTCTCATCCACCTAAAATTAGATTTAGCTTTAAAAAACATCTGCTTAGAACGCAATATTCTTGAAGGAAACAATAATTCCAGCACTTCAAAAACCATACATCGAAGATTGGAGGCACTTAGTCTTAAAGCTTGAGAACGAAAAGCGTTTAATCGTAACCTAAAAGACGAGTCGGACGACACGAAGGCTTAAAAGTAACACAGAAAACGGTTGTCTTTTTTTTTTTTTTTTTTTTTTTTTTAATGATAACAACTACTCTAGAATAAAATGATAAAACTAACGGAAACGATAGCTTGTACATTTAACCAACATGGTGGTCGTGACGTCACACTGAGTTGCTCTTTCCATTTCTGGAGGTTGTGTTTGCACAACTGCTCCTATTAAAGGATATAGACACGTAGCCTATCAAATCAAGCTTTACTCTATATGTTAGTGTCGAAGTTGAAGTAGAGAAAGCTCACTCCATATATGGCATGATCAATTCCATATTTGGATCGTGCGGAAAAGCGGCAAACAAAAAAGCCGTCGTTTCATAACGAATTCGACATATGTGTATGGAATAAATATATACCGTATACTATACCGTATATATGTAATATATATGTGGTTAGCCCGAATATACGGAACAATGCCATATATATATTTATCGTATATATATATGATATATACTCATATATATATTTCATTCCATGAATATTTA